GGATGGAGCGGTCTAGAATAATATCCAGTTTTCTGGATCAGATAACTGGATAGACACCAATATGGTTCATCAATATCCCAAAAACAGGAGGAAAAGGCACATTTGGAAGGGAGAATGAATCCAGTCGAGAAGCCCAAGGCACAGAGCTGAAACAATACAGTACATTGGGGGCCTCAGGGGGTTGGGGTAGCTGCCGCACAGAGCTTAGGAGAGAAACACAGCAGCAGTGAGGGTGGAACAGCCAACAGGAGCCAGCTCAGGACGGTGGTGAAGTCATCCCAGTCGCCTGAAGAGGGGAGAGCAAAGTGATTAGCAAGGTGGGAATCGAGCATTTCTAGATACGTCACAGCACATACATCGTGGCACAAAGCACCTAAGCCTTACCCTTCGTTCCAACATGAAAGCAAAATAAACAGGAAAGGTGGCAGGGATGGAGCGGTCTAGAATAATATCCAGTTTTCTGGATCAGATAACTGGATAGACACCAATATGGTTCATCAATATCCCAAAAACAGGAGGAAAAGGCACATTTGGAAGGGAGAATGAATCCAGTCGAGAAGAAATGTCTAGTAGGCAGTTTGGAGCTGAGAAAAAGGACCGAGCTGAAGAATAAATTTCGGAACCATGAGCATAAAGGTGGTAGCTAAAAGCTGGGATAGAAATGAGATCGGGACATAGGCCTAAAACTAGAAGAGGGTTAAGAAAAACAGTCTTGAAAACAGCGAGGTGGAACAGTCTAGAATAATACCCAGTTTTCTGGATCAGATAACTGGATAGACAGCAATATGGCTCATCAATATCCCAAAAACAGGAGGAAAAGGAACATTTGGAAGGGAGAATGAATCCAGTCGAGAAGAAATGTCTAGTAGGCAGTTTGGAGCTGAGAAAAAGGACCGAGCTGAAGAAATAAATTTCGGAATCATGAGCATAAAGGTGGTAGCTGAAAGCTGGGATATAAATGAGATCGGGACATAGGCCTAAAACTAGAAAAGAGGGTTAAGAAAAACAGTCTTGAAAACAGCAACATGTAAAGGGCTGGAGGAGGAAGAGGAATTGTAGATGGAGACGAAGGGGCTTGGCCAGAGAGGCAGAGAGAGAACAGGGAAGGAAGAGCTTCCTGGAAGCAAGAGGAAATGGTGTTCCAAGGAGGAAGTGCCCTGGAGCTAGGACAGCAGCAAAGCCCCCTGCTCCGCCTGCTCCTCTCCCTCCCACACACGCAGCATCTGCACTACAGCAGAAGTTGGTGTGAAGGGTCACCTAATGGCATCCCTCCCACACCTCAGACCTTTTAGTAGCACCCCTTTGCCCTCAGATGAAAGCCAAACTTTTAAATGGCCTCTGAGGCACCCTACCATCTGACCCCCGCCTAGCTCTCCAGCCT